CTGGATTCGGGTAAATGATTTGGCACAACATTTGGATACGTAAGGGTCGGGTAATCCATAAGAGGACTTAATTTGAGCAATATAAGGTGACAGACAAAAGTAGAGTGATGATGCTGAGGCAACAGCAGTGAAAGCCGTGAGAAGTTGTGCCATAGAAGAGAACAAATAAAACATCATAAGCAGGCTGAAGGAGCTCATTATAGGGATCATTAGGGCTTGAGATCTGTCTAAGGTGATTGATGCCTCTGATAAATCACGATTTCGCTCCATATCTTTTCCATAGTTCAGAGCTCGAAATGCAGACGCATACGAGACAAGTACTGCAGTCAAAATGAGTGAGAGTGGAGCTGGTTCAAGCAAAAACAACAGCCTCCATAAAGACTCCATCTTTGAGTAAATTCTGTGCAAAATCAATCTGTGGAGCTTAATTTATTCCTTCAACTGTTATGCAGCAATATTTGGATCTACTTAGCATATCCAAGAGATATGCCGCCTGAAAATTTCTCTCTATATATAAAAGCTGGACCGCCTGGGATAACTGTCCCCGCCTGAAAATGACAAAGTCACTGTCACATCATCGTGATTTTGGCAGTTGATCAGCAGGATTTTGGCTCTCCTCCGGCAACACTGCCAGCATATTGGTTGGTCATTAAATTACAGCTTATTACAATTCCTTTAATTGAAAACTTAACATCTTTTAAATGAAAGAACAGATAAAGAACGAAACTCAACAACACCCTCTAACTCTCTGAGCTTGATCTATTCACTTCTGATAAGATAAAATAAGATGTGTAGGAAGAAACAAAACAAGATGAGATTAAATAAGAAGACAGTTCGTAATAACCGACTAACCTCAGGACATTAGACGAACGGTGTAGACTGCTTCTGACCTAAGGGGAAGAGGAGATGGAAAAGGAGAGAGCTATTAGCGTACGACTGTCTGGCTGAGAGATGGTAGATCGGATGAACTGGACCGGGTCAAACACGTAGTATCGTATTTTCAAGGGCAATTCTAAATGCAGTCCCGTTTTCAAAACACAGCCCATATATAATAAATTCTCTTAAAACAAAATGATTAACTTTACAAAGTTACTCTTAATGATAGTATTGTTTTCTTTTCTATTAACTAAAGGAAATCCTTAAATATGTCTCTCATGATCGGGAGATATGGTGGTGAACATATAGGAGGAGGTGATGGCATGGAGTTAGTCATCGCGAAGGTGGTGGCGAATGTTACGACGGCGGAGGCGGATGTTCTGACAGTGCACATGACTGAAGCTTTGGTAGCAATGGTAGTGGAGGCTTTGAAGTCTTGTCGACGGCCCTCTCAGAGCTTGTCCAATGGAAAGTTTTAATCAACGTATGAGTCATTGGTGAGTCTGATATATGTACCAGTGCTGACGAGGAAGGAACCAAATGGGGAAACAGATGAAATAAAAAGAAACAAGTTGGCACATGGGGCACCACATGTTTAGGTAATCACAAAACTGGTCATTGATATGTAAAATCACTCAATTCAACCCGCATGGGTAGCTCAGTCGGTTGAATTGTGAGGAAGTTGGAGGAATGACCGTGTAGATGTTACAGTTTATGTGTGTTGAGTTGGACTTTTGATGCGCACAAGTACAAGGTCTACCACAATTGGATTGGCTCAGTCACTGTGATATACATGTACCCTCCTATATGCTTTGTCAGGTCAGGACATGAAGGGCCTTTGGATCGGGGATTCAACCTTTTGGAGGAACTCAATTGAGCTTTTTTAAAGTTGGAGGGTTTATTAGGATGTTCTCAAATTACAATGGTCTAATTAATCTTTTTGAGACAATATGAAAGCTTATTATAGAAACTCTTAAACCACAATGTTAATACTCACTTGTCGCCATTTATGATATCCAAAGTCCAAACATATGGACGTTAAATCCATTATTATTGTAGAATTTGAAAGACTAAGACATGTCAATTTGGGCGGCATATGGAAAACCCTAAAAGAGTGAGCAACCGATTCAGTGAGGAACGACGAAGGCTCCTGTATGTTTAAGCTTCACTGCATATTGAAAAAGTGGTTTATACACTCGTATGAGTGGTGTATTCTTCCCTACAATTTTTACGATTCTTCTTATGTCTATTTTGACAGCGATGTAATGGTGTTATGAGTGGTTTCTTCTCAAATTGATGATGCTAGTGCCTACTATACTATTGTTCAATTGCCATTGATGACACTCAACGAGTTTTAGATATGTTTTTCTCAAATACCATCATGCTTCTCAATCCATCTATGACGATACCGTTGATCCGCCCTCCTCCAGAATCACCACCACAGAAGGAAGGAGTAGTACGAAATTTTTATCAACATATCCAATACAAGGCCGATATACATGTCATTGGCTTTTGGAAAGTTGAGACCGGTCTGCAGGTACAATGGAATCAGTTGGGACGCGGCATAACTGGAAACTGATAACTTGTTGCTTTATTATTTCACTATGTCATTTTTTTTTGTAGTTACGCCTATTTGAGTACTTTGCATTATTTTTAATTTCTCTATAGAAACATAAGGACTTACATTGTGATGTTAAGATTCAATTTACCTATTACATGGTTAGTGATTTTTGCATCTCATTTGCGGGTAGCAGAGTCAAAGTCTGATCATTGAGCGTATGCCTGAAGTTGGTATAATTTTAGGTCTATTGCAATATGGTTTGATTTATTGATTTTAATAAAGACTATTTCCATAAAAACACTACTACATTTCAACCTCTAATGTATCACCCAAAAGTGTTACAATATCACTGAAAAATGTTACATTAGAGAAAATGTAACACTTGTTTACCATTAAATTTGCTCATTTTGCATTTGACCTATAGTAACACTTTATAGTCCCTAATGTACGTAACATTTATACTACTAAAAAGTGTTACATTAGGTCTAAAACGTGTTACATTAGAGAAATATGTAACACTTTTATAGTTATGTTACATTTTTAATGTTACATTAGGAGGCCGTTTGGCATCCCTGTTTTTCAGCTTATCAGCTTTATCAACCAACTTTTTCATCAAACATGTAATTTTTGCTTTCGCGCGCTGAATTGTGTAATAAGCAGAAAAAGTAAGGTTGAAGTTACTTTTCTGGTTGTATTGGCTGAAGTTATTGTAGATGACCATTTGAGCTATTTTACATCAAATCCTCTAATTTATTAATAAAATATATTTTGAAAATAATTTTTTCTTAAATCAGCAAAATCAATCAATACAACCACTTCAATAAAAAATTCATAAATTTCAACAGAATCAGTCAAAACAGCTGATTTTTGTGCTATCAAACGGGCTCTAGATCTTAAATTGTAATAGCAAAAAATGTCAATTTAGGGCGGTGAAGTCGTTATTGCAATTTGCACTCAAATGTCTCATGGTGTCTAGAAATGCGAAATAATAACTCTCTTTGACGCCAAACATAGAAATCGTGGCCTATCAATTCAACATTAGTATACCGTCTATCCTCACATGTCATGCAAATGAGCAACTATAGACTATAGTAAATAGTGATTAGATTGTTCCTTAAATACCACTACCATCAAATAACATTGAATATTTATATTATATAATAAATACGATTAACAATAAAATTATTTAGTATCTTTATATTTATTCATATCTTAGAAATAATATTGAACTTCAAAAAATGTTGATACCACTCAAATTCATTTTGTAATCTGTCCTGTCATAGCCTCATTGGTCTTACATTGGCACTTTTTCTTCAATCTAAGAGACGTGTTGCATTAGAAATTTGTTGAACATCTCATATCCGTATTCATCTCAAATTAAAATACACCCTCCGTCCCGTTGGAATGTTCCCGGTTTGACCTACACATATTAAGGAAATAAACTTACCAGGGGGTAAATTTTAGTGTTTTGACACTGTTTGGACACTGTTTGGCACTGTTTGGCACTGTTTTGCACTGTTTGACACTGTTTTGATGTAGGATAACTTTCCATTTAAGGAAATGAGAACTTCTTTTTGGGACATCCAAAAAAGGAAAGCGGAAACATTCCAACGGGACGGAGGGAGTACTACTGAGTAATTCTTTTCTAGTCCTATTAATAAAACGCAGTAATTAATAATCACAAATACTGTAGTACGGAGTATGTAATGATTATTTTTTGACTTTTAAAAAACGTAAACACTCAAAACATGAAAAACGGAAAGACGATGAATAAGCGTTGGAATGACCGCTTGTGCCTCACGGAAAGAATTTGATTTTTTACAGGGAAACTGTCAATTAGGCCCTCGTACTATACAAATACTCAATTAAGTCCTCGAACACTCAATGAATGTTCGTGATCTGATCTGAATGTTCATGATCTAATCTGAATGTTTCTGATCTGATCTGAATGTTTCTGATCTGATCTGAATGATTCTGACTTGATCTGAATTTTTCTGATCTGATCTGATCTGAATTTTTCTGATCTGATCTGATGTGAATAAGATAAGAACAAGCAGCAATAAGATTAAGACGACGGCTTCTAAGTCATTTTGAATGGAGACAATACGAAGTACTCCGTACGTATGAGTCCTTTTCTTGTCCAGCCGGCCTGACGGGAATCGCCGTCCGGCCGAGGGCATTTCGGGCACTTCCCAACGAAATTTTTTGATGAATTTTTTCGAGCATGTTCTTCATGAAGTCTAGTTTATCCATACCAAATTTCAGCTCAAAGTTCGATTGGGAAGGGATTCAAATAATTTTTTGAAGTTGAATGCGCAATTTATATGTATGAATTGCCCAGTTAACTTCAAGAAATTATTTGAATGTCTTACCGATTGAATTTTTAGCTGAAATTTGGTATGGATAAACTAGACTTCATGAAGAACATGTTCAAAAAATTTCATCAAAAAATTCCATCGGGAAGTGCCCGAAATGCCCTTGTCCGGACGGCGGTTCCCGTCAGACCTGGACATGAAAAGTTGTCCCGTACGTATTATTTATACTCATATTTCTATCTTTCTAACTGGCATCCGGGTTTCATACTTTCATAGCCTGAAGTTTTCACGTTTTATTCTCTTCCCGTTTTATTCTATCAACAGTTTCTTCTTCCCAAAAAAAAAACTATCAACAGCTTCACGTTTTCCTCACTCCCTCTCCTAAATCATTTCTCCTACACTTCTGACTCTACCTTCCTTAATTAGCTTCAGTATTACATACGGAGTATTTCTTTTGAATCCCAATTTAAATCCCGATTTTTTAATCTCAAAAAATAAAAATAAATTAATGCTCGCCATTAAGGAGTAATTGAAGTGCAGAATATACTTCGCCGGAGCCTGAATTACGATTTGAGATGAATCAGATGATGTGTGTGGATGCGTTAGTGCTATTTGCCTCTTTTCTGCTGACGTTCACACCGCGCTCGGCGGCGGTGACGGAGCCTCAGCTTCTGGTGAACATGACGCTGGTTAAAAACGCCTCAGCTACCGGAGCTTGTACGTATATAGTCACGCTTCATCGATTTATACGAGATCGAATTCATTTTTCCTGAAAGTTACTTATCAATTATTGGTACCGCACAGTACTTCGATTCGTATAATTATTAGATTTTTATTCATAATTTGTGATGCAATATGGATTAATTTCGCGCGCGTGTGGTATGAGACGGTTAGATTGCTTGGACGGAAGTTTGCCGGCGTATCACTTTGACAGAGGATTCGGCGCCGGAGCTCAAAATTGGCTTTTGCAGTTTGAGGTATGCGGTTAGCTCTCAGTCTTGTCGTATCCGTTACGGCATATACTCTTACGTCATATACTCTCTGTTTCGCGAGAAGGCCAAAGAAATTTGTGGAGAGTAGGATATTTAATTTTAGTCACATATTCCTTGTTTTAAATGTAAATGATAAATCTATTTAGAACATCAAAAAAGAAAATGTGGTCAACCTTTTCGGGATGGTGGGAGTACGTTAAATGTTTTTACTTTGATCGATTTTTTCCTAGTTTGGTTTGAACCAATCTAGTTCGGTCAGATAAATGTCGTATACTCTTGCGCCATATGGCCCATATAGTATAATTATCCATACGCCATATGGCCCATATAGTATAATTATCCATATGATTTGATTCGAGACTGAAGATAGTTAAAATAAAAATATCCTAATTTTTTGAATGACTAAAAATTTCCAAAATGCTATTTGTATACAACATTTTAGAAAATGCCAGATGCACCTAGCATCATTGTTCTAAAAAATTAAAAATGTCATTAGAAAAGAAAACTGTATATCAACGGAGACAGTCTTTTGCTTTTTTTAGTACTTAGCGGCACTCTAGAATTATTTTAGTACGTATATTTCTCTGGCTTTCCAGATTTATTTCAAAATTGTAAATAAATTCATCAACTCGAAAATCGAGATCTGATCTGAGTATCAAAATATTTGGGGAAATTTCCTTTAGCTCTGTCCAATTGTCCTCGACTCGTCGTGGTCTCTTTATCTTTTCCACATGACTTGTCCTGCTCCTTACTTTAAATAATACTCGTATATTCTCCGATTGATTTATTATTATTATCCATGTTTATGGTTGGTGGCACGTAATTTGTTAAACTTTAAATTCTTAGTTAGTTCGAATAATTGAACTTGTTTAATTTCGATAGGTGTGTTGGGGGCCTGGGGCATGTATATGTTTCAACCAAAATAGACAAATGTTATTGATGCATACAATTTGTTCTTGTTTGCAATTTCTATTTTATATACGAGTAATTTTTTTCATATTTAATTCAATTTTTAGGGTTGAATGCAATTTCATTGTATTTTGTAAATATATAAAAATTTATGTATTAAATTTATTTTCAATCAATTATACGGAGCAGTAAAATCAATTATAGTAAAATGGTATAAAGAAATCTAGCTTTGGTGGGAGGGAGCATGATCTCAATCTACTTTGATACTATGCTCATTCATCAATTGAGACTTTAATTGTGGGACGAAAGGAATATTAAATAAACATTAATGCGGAGTATAAGAGTATTAATATCATAATTGACGGCATACGAAGTATAAGAGTATTAATATCATAATTGACAATACTTTTACAGAGTGGTAATAATATTTCATATTTTTGAAATTTTAAATTATTTTAACCATATTTAATTGTTTGGACTTTTGTTTGTCAGTCCATGGCTCCATGCACCAAATAAAAAGAAGGTAATAATAAGGGGATGAAATATTTGTTGGGATCCCTTTTAATTGGAGAGGTTCTAGAAAATTTTAGAGCTTTCTAGAGAAGTATAGAATTTTCTAGAACGTTCCGGAGAATCCTAGAGAAGTCTAGAACTCTTTAGAAATTAGTGGAATAACGTGGAATCTTCTAGAATATTCTAGAGATGTGTGGAACCTTCCGGAACCTTATGGAAGAGTATGGAAGGATATAGAAGAGAATTGCAGAATGTAGAAACTTCTAGAGTGTGTGGAGCATTCTAGAGAATCAATCCCCACCTTTGGATACAAATCATCCCCACCATTCATTGTGAAGGTGGAGTAGTATAAATAGGGGTATGAGGCTTCATTTCTAACTATCCTAGCCAAGAGTGAATCCACTTCTAGAGTGAGAAAGTTAGAGAGTCTCTTTGAGAGAGAAGAGAGATAGCTTGGGAAGACATCATCCTCAAGCTTGAGTGAGCCACCATTGAGTGAGACAATTTTGTAACATCCCTGTAAATCCTATTATTCTTTTGTATAGTGTAAGAATCTCCATATTGGAGAATTTAGATCGTGTGCCTCCATTGCTACCTTATTTCCTAAGTATCTATCTTAACTTCACGAAGCGAGAAAGTTCGGAGTGTTTCCCAACAATATTAAGGTTGTTTTTTTAATTAAATTGCGTTTGTCATAGATAAAATCGGATCAAATCAAATCGATTAGTTTAAAAAAATCATTTCAATTAAAAACATTGAAAGGTGTAAAGTCCAAATTTGTTATCAGATCAAATCCATTAGTTTAAAAAAATTCATTTCGATTAAAAACATTGAAAGGTGTAAAGTCCAAATTTGTTATCAGATCAAATCCATTAGTTTAAAAAAATTCATTTCGATTAAAAACATTGAAAGGTGTAAAGTCTAAATTTGTTACCACCTTTATATATCCCATTGAAATTCATGTATAAAAATACACTATTTTTAAAAAAGTGGCTTACGATTGTTATATTGAATATACAGAGTACAAATAAAGATGCTCTATGTATACTGAATATATGTAATACTCGGTATTAATATGATACGGAATATGATGCAACTTTAGTCGGATAGGCAAAAAGATAAATAGTACTATAATGTTAAGATAATGGAGAAATTGACGATAATAATATAAACTTTTACCAGTCTTTTCAAAATGTTTTCACCTAAGAATAAACTTAAAATAATTTTACCTTTTCAAGTTTTTACTTCGTCTTCATTGACAAATTCTCTCTTCACCCCAAAAAACTTTCCAATTTGAATTGACACACTTATTAAAAAAAGTGAGTATAAAGTGAAAATGTATGATTAAAATTAAAAATATAAGAATTTTGTGTAACGAATGAAGTATTAAACAAACATATTAGAAGAAACTCCGATCAATCTCAGTCAATCACCTCTGAGGGATGGGTGCGGGTAGAAAAAAATGCTTTTCTTATAGTTATACCGAATAATGTCGGTATCGATTCAACATAACTAAATGATGCACTCCATATCTTTTCATGTCAATTCAACACATAACTAAATTATGTACTCCATATCTTTTTTAACACCGTATGTTTTTTTGTACAACAATGCCTAACAGTGTCCAAATAACATTTTAAATTCTCATTTTGTTTTGACAATAGGGTGGTGGGTGGTGTGACGACATTAAAACATGCTTGGACAGATCTACATCTAAGCGTGGATCAACGACTTATATGAACAAGTGGGAGGTCTTTTCGGGCATTCTCAGCAACAATGCCTCTCTAAACCCTGGTATGGCTACTGCCCTCTGCCCTCAGCAACGATCCTTATCAAATGCGGAGTAGTTCGAAAGACTTCTACAAAAAAGGGAATGAAAATCCTAAGGAGGAAACAAGTACCAGTAATTTTGTAAAAAATACTCTATAGCTGCTATTAATCCGAGAAAAGGGTGTTTTAAATGGCACAAATTATAAAAAATGATTTTTTGAATACTAAGAGCATCGTCAGCGGTTAACTAATTGTTCTTTTGGCTTAACTAGCCACATGAGCATTTGTTGCGAAATTAAAATGTACCCCAATGATTAGTTATAACTTCTTCCTCTTTATTTAACATTAATAATGTTATATGTAGTATTTAGTAATTCTCCTTGTTCAAATAGTAGCTCATTTTGGCTAATTAGTTTCTCAAGCAAAAGGGAAGACAATGCTCCAATGATAAGCTATTGGTTTTAAAATGGGAAATTTACCACAATATTACTAAAAGGAAGAGAATTTCCCATTATATAACCAAAAAACTTAATTGAACATAATATGACTAAAAGTCACCAATTGTGGGTAGCATAACTGAAAAATAAGAAAGAGAAACATTCCATCTAATGTATGTACAACGTGATTAGCGTATGAGAGATAATTTTCTCTTTTTAAAAAGTGACTAGGTCATAGATTGGAAAATAGTTGATCTTTTAGTCATATGAGAGATAATTTTCTCTTTTGAAATTGCAAGCAAGTCCTTCACATAACCATTGGAAATGCTCTAAGGCGTGAATTTTATCCTATAAGATTGACAATAATTTGAGTAGTCGCTTACTCAAATGCTTAGGGGAATTATTAAATAGTTTATGCCAAGAGAAAAATCATTCCCCTTCCTATTTAATAAGCGAAATACAGCATTAAAAGAGAAACCATTATAAGATTGTCATTCCCCTTCCTAGCATTAAAATTATTCAAACTGCTTTACTTTATAATAAGAGAAAAATCATTTTCCCCTTCCTGTAATGCATCTATTATCACTCTTCCTTAAAGCATTTCAAGTATGACTTCAGTATCTCACATTAAAAGATTTCTCTCATAGAATGTGTTATTGTGAGAACTTATCATTAAAGTATATATGCAGATTTTTACAATTGGAACCGAGTAAAGCTTAGGTATTGTGATGGAGCATCATTTTCAGGAGATTCGAAGTTTGATAACGGGGTAAGCCTTTGAATGTTAAATTTCAGTTACTTTATAAATGCCACATGTGCTAGCTCTTGGTTCTTGCAATTTTATATATCTAAATCATTTTTCTTTCTTGCAATTTTATGTATTTATGTATCTAATGATCAATTCATTTTTTGAACTCTTCTCATTCTGTCTAATTTTGTGAGGTATACATCATGCAATGAAAAATTTATGAAGTTAAAGATACAAATCCACATATGAAGATATGTACTCCTCGTTGGCTTTTAGGATAGAAATTGAAATCTAATACTACGTATGACATTAGGTCATACTATCGTATTCTTTAAGGAGTGGGAAAAGGTGAACTAACATAAAGTATGCATCTTTTTTGTTTTCTTACCCAATTATTCATTATTGACTAGATATGTGTTGTGTATGATGCTCCCCGTCGCACTCTAGGTTCTAGACAGCTGAAATATTGATATCCAGAAGGACCAGAAATCATTTTTCCTGAACAGTGTCATTTTGGTTTAAAGTGCCCTTATTTACTTTGTTTTGCTCCCTACACTAATTTCAGTTTAGAAAATATTGCAACTCAACATCATAAGAATATGTGACAAAGCACACTCTAAAAGATGCTTCGCTCCCTTGCCCCTAAGATACTCTTATGTAATCTGTCTTCTCATAATAGCACTGGATTAAATGAAATGCAATACAATATATGGAGTATTAAACTGGTAACGTCTTTTATTCATGTCATAGCCCATATACTGTTGCATTTGCAGTAAACTTAAGATAACGGGAACTCTCGAGTAGAAGAGTGCATAACTGTATCATTTGCTTAATTTTAAAAGAGTGAACTTACGTGAAATGAAATGCAGACAGTATTGCTTTATTTCAGAGGGCAGAGAATTTGGCAAGCTATCATTCACGATCTCCTTCCAAAAGGTTTGGGTCAATCAAGAAAGGTAAATACTAAATAGGAATTTGATGCCTTCACCTAGTACTTCTCTTTAGATATGAAATTTGAGACAACCCATTTTGATTGTCATACTTTACACGAGAATGTCTTATATTTTTGTGCATAAACGTTTAGTTATTTGGCATTATCAGGGAGGTTAACTGGCCGGCATAAAAATATACTAGTGTATAATAACAAGAAAAGTAAAATGGCCTAAGCTGCTTGCTGGACCTTTTGAATGTATCATACTATAGTAAAATTTGAAATGTCTTGAGCCAGTTCATGAGTTTTAAACTTAATTGATTATAAGAATGTACAACATCTACTTTAAGGAGTGCTATAGTTTACGGTGTGGTTACTTCTGTGCATTTAGCAGTCTTACAGTCTCAGTGGCTTCACTTTTAGGCTTTGCTTTCTGGTTGTTCTGCGGGTGGGTTATCAACTTTTCTGCATTGTGACAACTTCACCAGTTATCTACCCAAGACAACAAGTGTCAAATGCTTGAGTGATGCTGGATACTTCCTAGATGAGTATGTTCTTATTTTGGATTATAATTTTTTGATTTCTTTCTCTGGTTTTGCTAAGGTATCTCATAGCAAAACCACAGTCACTGACTCACCATATAAGGAATAAACTTGTTAGACTTATCATCTAGGATTTAAGTTAAAGGCTTACTCTTGGGCTCTTGTATGCTAGTTAGGGTATATTTACTGGTGACTTAATGGACTCATTGGAATAATCAAATCTTTAAGTCATATTTACTTATGACAAAATTGAAAACACAATGTAGTTGTTAAGTAAAAAACTAACTTAATCATCAAGTCTTGATGTATTACTCCCCATTAAGACATCTTTTAAGGCGTCTATTCGGCTAAAACACTCACTCATTATGGAATAAATGTATGTTAATAGGTGACATTACTCATTGACAAGATAACCCAAAAATGACCGTATATTGATTATTTTACGCAATTTAGTTTTTTCTTTTAGCACACAACATAAACAGTCTCATATAAAAATCACTTAATCTAAACAAACATCTTAATCCCCTAGGTTGATTATTATTGTCCACACTATTCTGATGTCCAGCCTGGTTAGCGTGGGGGGGGGGGGATGGGGTTTTAGCCTCGTTGTAATAAATCTTTAAGGAGGAGACTCATATATCTAGTTGGGCCCATTTATTGTGAGGTATCCCCTCTCCAAATGACTAATAATAATAAAGACTGCTTAGCTTCATTCTAGACTTCCCTGTCTAACAGCTAGCATTTATAGAACATTGCAATTTTAATTTAATGGACGTTTATGTCATTTTCAGGAGAGATATAAGTCTGAACTATACAATGAGATCTTTCTACCAGAACATGCTTTTCCTACATGTACGTCTTTCACCCATAGCTGGGGGCAAATGGGCTATATTAAGAAATGTTTTCTCTGATGACATGATTATTGTTTGACAGGCAGCAGGACACACCCTCAACAAAAATTGCACTGATTCTCTTACCCATCCTGAACTGGTATAATCAACTATACTATAACTATACTTGGCATACAATGAAACTACATGCTGGCAATCTTATATTCTGTTTATGCAGTGCATCTTCCCACAGTACGCATTACCTTACATTCAAACACCATTTTTCATCTTAAACTCTGCATATGATGTGTATCAAGTAAGATCATCATTCCTGTATTGCTTAATGGTTTCTTCTTACTGTTATAAGTGGTGATGATAGAAATCATAAAACTCATGTTGTTGTGTTGTATACAGTTTCATCACATACTGGTTCCTCCTTCTGCTGATTTTGGTGGGCATTGGAAAGCTTGCAAACTCAATCCAGCAGCCTGTAGTCAATTACAATTGAGAACTTTACATGGTCAGTTTTTTTTTGTGTTTTTTTAATATTAAAGTTAAGTTCCTTAATGTGCATGATGACTTTGCAATATCAATCTTGTACAGAGACACAACTATTTTACTTCGGTTTTCATAGTGAATTGAAAAATACTATGACAAATTTTGGAATTCGGCTCATTATTCCCGAGTAAGAAGGTTGTGACGACAATGGCATGATTTAGAATATCACTACAGTGATCTTTTTGCATGATGTAATAGTGTTAACTAAGAGCTTGCTTGGCGGAAGAAAATTTGGTTGGATTTACTAGCTCAAAAGTGTGTGTATCGTAAGCAGTATTTTAAAAGAAATGAAATAAAATACGTAGTATCAGAAATAGAATTGTAGAAATCCATTTATCTTCATTTCAGCAAACAAATGTTGAATGCTCAGGTAATGCAGTAAAATAAATTAGTGTTTAGTAGGACATATGGAATAAACTGAAAAGTGATGTACTCAACGAGCTCTAATAATAGACAACTTAACAACAGGCACAATAAATTTCATGTAACCCCCACACCCAAAAAATTGTGATTAGGATGAGTCATTGAGTCCTATGTTTGAATTATTAACATTTCAAATGATAATTATAAAATAACTTACAATGGCTTTTTATTTCAAATTCCTTCAGGATTCAGAAGAGACATGCTCGCATCTCTCACAGTTTTCTATTACCACTCGAGAAGAGGAGGAATGTATATAAATTCATGTTTTGCTCATTGTCAAAGTGAGACTCAGGACACATGGTTTGCAGTTGATTCTCCCCGTATAAAAAACAAGGTCCATAAAGTACATATCATTTGTCTCTTTTGTTGTTTCCCTAAGGTCTGTTTGGTTGGAGGGTTTTGAAGGGGAAGACTTTACAGAGCTTAGTCTATATTTTGATAAACAGAACGTTCATAAAACTAAATAAAGGGTGATGGAAATGTTATACTCCCTCCGTCCCAAAAACAACTTCCCACTTTCCTTAAATGGATGTCCCAAAATTAACTTCACACTTCAATACTTTCCTTATTTGGCAAATTATCTACATCAAAAAAGTGATAAACAGTGCCAAACAGTGTTTAAACAGTTCCAAACAGTGTTTAAACAGTGCAAAACAGTGCACTCTACAGTAAAGTCAAATTTATTTTCTAAAAGTGTGTGAAAGTCAACCGGGAGGTTGTTTTCGGGACGGAGGGAGTATTATTATCAAATACTATGTTTTTTCTTAATATTTTTTTTATAAAATTTGAAATATATATATATGAACTTCAGAACTGTCCTTTCAAAAACCCTTCACCAAAAGTGACTGTTAGGTATTGGAAAGTTGAACTAAAGTGTTACTGAAGCTCTAAACCCTCTACCAACAATAAATTTCTCGCAGACTATTGCAGAGGCAGTCGGTGACTGGTACTTCAGCAGAAGGGGAAGCAAACTGGTTGATTGTGCATATCCCTGTGATTCTACTTGCCATAATACCATTGGCTGACATACACAGATTCAATCACATTCAACCCTGCACACAGATTTCATGAAAAGTAATTGGAGATGACAATAAGTTTGTGATTCTATATTGGTTGGCACAGTACATGATAACCACTACAAAAAAACTGTCAATTTGCAGCAAAACCATTAGTCATTACAAACTGTCTGTTTGATAAGAGACCGATTTGCAGAAACTTGTTACAAGTTCGTCACAAATTGACAGTTTTTTTGTAGATAGAATATATGTGCGGTTTATGATACTCATATGAGATAGGTTAAGAATACAATTATACAATTAAGAAAAGATTTGTCTCATAAATAGCATAGGATTAGTGAACAAATTCATTTTTAGCAACGAATAAGAGCAGTTTTTTATTGATGTATACACATATTATTGATTCGCCTCTTAGACAAATTGATCTTTCATTTCAATGTACACCAATTTTATACAAGTATTTAGCTTCGCCCCTTAGACACCCATATTATTGATTTATTGCTACTTTTTATTACAATAATTTGAAAATAAGAGCACTACGTAATAATACTCAAATCATCATCATTATCATTACCCCATTATCATTACCCCAGTGGCGCAAAGGCTCCCACCTATGGTGGGGTAAGGGGGTCGGATGTACGCAGTCTTACCCTTGTACTAAAACACAGAGAGTCTGTTTCCGAATGACCCATAGTGAAAAACATGTTGAAAATTGCATAGACTGACTGACCATTATTTCATAACAAAGAAGCACAAACAATTTAGTGAGTCATTTTGCTTTATTTCATCATATTCCCAAGCCAAAAAATAGTGAGTCTTTGACTCCATTAAATAATGAATATAAATACATTGTAATACTCCGTAATACTTCCTTCTTTTCCTTCTAAAAGATTTGAAGTTGCCAAGTACTTTGTGACCCAATGACATGCTCATACATTACAAAGCACAAAAAAAGATTCGAAGGTCTGTAATTAAAAGTTTATGACAGTTTTTAGGTTTTTGTTGACTTCTTTGTGTGTAGTCCAAACTTAAACAGTTAAACAGAACATATTAGATTTTGACAATTATAAAACAAACTTAGAACAAACATTTGAAAGATCATACCAAACTTAAACTAAATTAAACCAAATCAAAAAATTACAATCCAATTAAAACTAAAAAAATGACCTTGTTTGACAATTGACTGTTAGCTGGTTACAATAGCTGATTGATAATAGCTGGTTGTGTCAGCTATATGTTCGTTGACCGATTATGTTAACTTGTTGTCAGCAAATGTTTGGTAAATTAGTTGTTTAAGAATAATTGTTTGAAAGTAAAGACATATAAGGATAAGTATTTAATTTTTTAACTATTGCTTATAAAAATAATATTACCTACTTTTACTTAAGAAGTATAAATAATTGATAAATAAAACTACATGAAAAAAGAAACGTTTTTATTTAATTTGAATAATAATGTGAATTTACATTACAGAAAACATAAATAGCAATAAACATTACACAAGTACCAAAGTGTCTCACAAAATAATTAGCACAACACACTTATGTTAACTAAAAATAAAATTAATACCACATAATCAATTGTGAGTGCGTTTAGCTTCCATCAAATTTGATGTGATACTATTTCGGATAACTCTCATCTCCCGAGTTCTATTATTCACGTCATTTTGTGTAGCAATTCTTTCAACATCTTCAAATACATTCGGAGGTATGAACTCAGGATCCTCATCAAGATATCTAAAACCCAGTTCACCATTTGAGCTCCTTCTAATGTAGTTATGCAATGCAAAACATGAACACATTATCTTATTTTGATCTTATGAGTATTTTGGCATTTTTTGCAATATGTTTCATCGAGCCTTAGGGCATCCTCATCCATAGATTTTTTAGAGATCACTGTGATGATGTAGAGATTTTTTTTGAGATTATGGTTGAGAAGTTATGATTATTTGAAGAGATTATTTGATATAAAAATTTGGTATCAAATTCTAAAGCTAGATTATTTGAAGATTATTTCCAATTTCTAGCCTCTTCACCTCATTTTCTAGGCAGATTAGCAGATACGCATAATTAAGGTAGCTTTGTAGCTCGTGCATGTGCATGCTCAGATCCAAGAAATGAAGTGCCATCTGTTGCTATTAAATTAACTGTACTGCATGCAGCTTTGATAGCGGTATCCGTTACTAAATTAAAAAGTGCATGCGGCACTAGTTCAACTTCCAAACCCATGAAGTGCCACTTTTAGATAATAAAAAATTATAATGGTGTACGTAGTAATATATATACTAGTAGTAAATTAGTACTATCATAAATTTAGTGTACTTAATAATATACGTACTACTATATAGTATATACATATACAATAGTGTACTTACGTAGTGTATACTTCGTATGTAGTGTACTTAATAATCCATGGGTATGTAGAAACTAGAATAGTACACTTTTTTATGTACCTAATAATATGAAGTGCATGTGAGTGTATGTGAGTGCATTTAAGTTGGAAATTTTGAAATTGAGTGATGTCTCATAAAAATCTAGGTAAATTAAGATGAGGAGAAATTAATACGGAGTAGGTTTGAAGATTATTTGAGATTTTCTTATGGAGGTGACGTGACAATAATAAATCCTAAAAATCGTAAAATTGAGTATCATGAATGGAGATGCTCTTAGGAACACCGCAACCTTTTTCAATACAACCTATAGGAATGAATGTGCTATATTAAATACCTCAACTAATATCATTAACAATAATAATTATATAATAATAATAATAATAATGATAATTATAGTAATAATAAGAGACTTTAATTAGACCATAAACATAATCGGTGATGTTGTGCCAATTCTAAACAAGTTGTTAACTACAACTTTTTGAGGTATTTTAACAAAATGGAATGTTTGGGATGACAATTATCATGTGCCCGCAGCTTTGCACCTTAATTAGGTGGCCTGGATGAGCTGGTTTTCATTGGTCTTGTATGCAGACATGAAGACATGAACAAAGACTAATTAATAAGAAAAAATTACAGAACTATTACCAAACCCATTTATAAATTACATTTATATTACTAAACATTATCTGATATTTAAATCAATAAAACATCGTTTTCAATATTCCTTTTCTGACCTCACTATAGAGTCCCAAAAATCTCTCGCTCTCCTAAAACTCTCTTTCTCACTCCCAGTTTATCACATTAACTCTTGCGCCTTCTTTGCAAAGACTCTGGCTCCAAGCCATTGAAACTCTCTCCGTGAATTTCAATCATATTTCTTACTTCATTTGTAAATCATATTGCTTTCTAAATTCTGGTTCTTATTCCGCTGAACAGGAAGACGAGGTCTAAAGACTAAAGCGACAAGTACCAACTTGTAAATTCCAACCTGTAAGCCATTTGAAAACCAAAAGTACTAATTCCAGTGGATGCAGTTACATCACATCCATTAATCCTTACTCAATGTCCATTACTATACTCTGTTCCAAGATAAAGTTACTAGGAGTATAAAATTAAATAGAAATATCATGACTCGTGTAGCCGAAATTACTTAAACATTGTTACTAGATACCTTAATTTATCTCCCTTGCAAAAAAAAGTCATTACTACATAACCAGATTCATCATCAATCTGTTGGTTGTAGTTACTAGAAACTCGTACGTTTGTCCCAAAAGTCCATTACTACATACTCATACTTAAAGTAGTTACTACAAGATGTACAGAGAAAAATTATGATTGAGGTGCCCACAGTTACTTAAAAATCTACTACGTACTCTAACTCCATCTCTACATTCTCTTCCAAACAAATAGCGACTCTTATCGACTCTTATTATCCGGCTTCATCCCAATTACGTTAGCCTTAGTTACTTAAAACTCCATTACTTTGTGTAGTCACGTAAAGTACTTACAAAACACCCAGTAACATCATACTTAGGCTCTTCAGTAAGTTACTATATAATTCATTACTACATTCTCTTCCATAAATTAGTCACTGTTAATTTCTTATAATCTTCGTAATTTGACAATCGCCGCCATTACTACAAAACTCGATTCTATCTACTAGTCCAAGTAGCTTTAGTTAGCATTGCAAATCCAAATTGATAAGAATCATGGTAATTAATGTTTTTTTTCTTGGCCCTAAACATTTCCAATTTATTTCAAACATTCAAAACTAACCCACTTTCTGACTTTCATACGTTACTAATGGATAGCTTTCGTAGGATTTCCGTATTCCGTCTATCCATCCCAATAGGAGTTGTAACCGTCTTGGTAAGCATGTCATTTCTCTTTTCAATTTACTTATTTACCGGGCTCCTTGTATCGTAAAATGTAAATACTCATGGTCACTTTTTTGTAAACCAAATTACTATTGGTAATATTTATGTAAAAAACTCTATCAGAGTAGCTGCAAACCTTATTATTGTATTTTATTTACTCAGCCTTGAAACGAGGGCACTGTGTATACAAGGTAAATGACATTATGAGTATTTCCTTTGACATAAATGATTGCATTAACCAGCCATCACCATAATGCATGTTCGAAGTAAGAACCCTAAAAAGGGGGTAAGCTAGATGGGAAGCGAACAAGCATCCACTCTTTCTCATATGCCACCAGATGGTACCATCTTATTTGCTCGAGCAACGAGAGCTTTAGATCATAAAACTTCTTCTTTGGAGGATCGCCATCTTCTTGAATCATGTCATTCAAAATCTGTTTCAGCAATTCTGTCAGAAAAACTACCTTGGCACACACTACAGCTATAATGACAATGTATATTTAGATACAACCATGTATAGAGTCCGATTGGGATGATGTATAGTACAAGTTTTCTGTCATTTACTCAGTTGAAGTGCATGTTAGCACCGACGCCCCCCTTTTAAATTTAAAGATTTTTTTTACTCTAAAACACATATCTATGAAACAAGTCATCCCAAACGCACTCTTAGCACCGGGGTCCCCCATTTTATTTAAAATTTTTTCTTCCTCTAAAAACACATATCTATGAAAATAAATAATCCCAAATGCACTCATAATCTTTTTTATAAGATAGTTTCAAAATTATCCCCAAAGCATAACTGACACTACTGCACACATTGCTAAATATTACCTTCAATGCAGTTCCCAGTCTACCTAAACGTCTTTCGTATATAACAGAAAGTGTTCCATATCTGGATGAAGTGACATCCACCCACTTCTTTAGTTCTTTGAAGTTCTTTTCAAACAAGTCTGACTCAACGTGAGGTGCTGTTGCAGGTTGGGCATCCGTCTTGTCAGAATCTCCGACATTCTACCATGAAAAAGACAATTAAGACTGAAAAAGCTCTACAATTTCATGTGAAGACAAACATTACATTGTATTACTCTGTATTAAACAGAAGACCAGCACAACTGCCTCTGAGAAGGATGAGTTTCCAAAATGCACTGATTTTATTATATTTCCAGATTTTCCATCATTTTCAATGGAGCCAAAGATTCATTATTTTTTGGCTT